CCCCTAGCCAACAACCTAACGCCAGCATAGGGAGTCCGACCAACATGGCACAGATAGGAGTCTTTGGTTCGCTCAAGGGGTGCAGCGAAATGATAGGCGCATAGGTAACCTAGTGAGGGTACACGAAGTGGAAATGCACCGAGGCAGGGGAGAAAGCCCCAAGAAGGAGATCCATGGAAGCAGATAAACTGGAAAAAAAAAGAAAAAAAGAGGGTGCTTTATATATATCCTCACCGTAGCTGTCCTATCTGCCGAGGTGGGGACAGTTGAAGAAAAAGAGAAAAAAAGAAAAAAAAGAAAAAATAGAAAAAAAGAAAAAAAGAGAAAAAAAGAAAAAAAGAGAAAAAAAAAGAAAAAAGAAAAAAGAAAAAAATATGTTGATCTATGGGATGTGTTATTTGCTTTGTGACAATTGGATTATATGTGGGATGTGTCATTTGCTTTGTTTGACTGATACTCTTTCTTTCCCTGTCAGGTTTGGTTTCTTCCTCCTTTTCTTTACCTCTTTGCCTTTTGGTTAAGTGGGTCCTTGTGACACACGGGGATGGGGGCAGCCAGCGCTCAACCTGTCATCCACATGGCTGGCCTTGTACGTAAGAGGTGATGAACAGGTGGGGCTTTCCTTCCTTCCTTCGTTTCCTTTCCTTGTTTTGCTTTTTTCCGCCTTGGCGCTCTGATTTACAGTGTGACTGTGACAAACGAAACAGTTTGTCACAGCCCCTTGTTTGTTGTCCTCTTCTCTCTCTCTGCCTACGGTTTACCGGGCAGTTCTGTTTGTGAYGATATATATATTTGTGATGATATATATAGCCTGTGTTGGGGTCCGGCTGAACTGCCGAACCTGAACGGCAGAACATTCGGCCCCCTGGCCAAACCCGAACACACACACACACAAAAAAATAAATAAACACTAGCTACCAGTCGAGCCGCCCGGGTCTTGTTCGCCTGGGCGACCTGGCCGTGCAAGGTCTCAGCAAAAAAAAAAAAAAAAAAAAGAAAAACTGAAAAAAGTATGTTATGCAGAAAAATAAAGTGAACAACTTTTGCCTCAGGGTCACATCGAAATTCTTTACCAAATTTAAAATAAAAAATAAAGTTAATTTTTTTCTTTTTAATTTTAGGCTACCAGCGTGGCCCGAGACCGCTTTCCCGGCCGGGCAAAAAAAATGAAAACATAAAAAAATAAATAAATTAAAATTATGTTTTATTTTTGAATTTGGTAAAGAATTTCGATGTGACCCTGATGTTGCAGGCTGAAGTGTGCTCAGACACGGCGGGGTTAATCCAGGCCGGAGAGCCGGTTCATTCCTGCGGGGGGGCATGGTTATTGATGTGAGGGACGCTGGGCCCGTTTCCCAGCCTGAAACGGTTTCACCCAGTTTACCTGACAGATGTAAACTGTAGGACTCGATCCCTAGAGCTACTCCCTTGACCCTGTACATTGACCCTATGACCCTATGTGAGATTTAAATCCGTGACTTGTTCTTAATCCCGGAGGTTAGTTAGTAGTCAGCATGTTAGTCTGTCGTAGGTCTTGATCCCTACCGTCTTCCCCCGGACATAACGCACCCTAAAAATGAATGTATACAAGCTATATCTCCGGCCAGAAACAGCCAAAATAAGGGTGCGCTGTGTTTGGGGAAGACGGTAGGTCTTCGTGTTAGCAGTTCGGTATGTTACCGTTAGCAGTTCTGGATGTATCTACTAGGTCCTAGAAGGTCGTAGGTTCCACTGGTCGTGTCTGAGTCAGCAAGGTGGATGTCCGCCTTGTCCAGTCAGCAGGTACCAGGGAGTCTCACGCTGTTTGGGCCCACGAGTCCCACGTGGTTTGTGCTCCCCAGGCCCACGTGTTTTGGCCCAGGGCTGGGCCCGACCGACCACCTGCAGCCAAGTATAAATAAGGAGGCAGCGTCCAGTCGTTCATTCATTCGCCTGTGAGCCTTGTGGAAGCGCTGCTGGAGCGACTTGTGCTGGGAGGTCTCTAGGTGCCCGTAGACGAAGTGGGCTGAGGAAGACGATGACAGCCATAGCTGGGCTGAGGGAGACGACGATGGCCATAGCTGGGAGGAGGAAGACGATGGCGGCCATAGCCGCCCAGCTGTTGACGTTGACAGAGTGTACAGTGTGTGCGCGTGTGTGTGTAGTGTGCACATTCAGGGTGGATCCTCGTGCGTGCGTGCGTGAGTGAGGTTGAGGCTGATGGTGTAGACAGTGTGCAGTGGGGACTTCAGACAGTGTTAGCGGCCATAGCCGCAGGTTGTAACAGTTGACTTGAACTGAGTTTCTGGCCAGAGGCCATATCTCTGAGTTTTCTGTGTGGCCGCATGTCGCCAGTGCAAGTTCATGGCTGAGTTCTGAACTGACGAAGTTGGTTTGCCATCGGCTTATATATGTATGTATGTTGCAAGTGAGTTGGAGTCAAGTCTGATTTCAAGACTGTGATGATATGATTTATTCCTTTTTTTTTGTTAAAAAAATAAAATTTGGTCAGTTTATTGTTCTGCATAACTCTTTTTTTTTTTTAGGGTGCCAACTTGTGCCGCATGGTCCAGGCACTCCGGCCTGGCTCCGGCGTCCCTCATTTTAACAACAATGTTTGGCCGCCATGGTATTTGACAAAACCAAAACCCTAACCCGAAATCGAGCAGGAGAAGACCTACAGTGAATCTCCAATCTATATACTAAGGCGATGTAAGTGAACCAAACACAAGGCACGGAGTCCCCAAACCCAAAGGAGGGAAGCCAACAATCACTCTCCAATCTTTTTTGCCCGGCAGGGCAAGGTCCCGGGCCACTCTGGTAGCCTAAAAAAAAATAAAAAAAAATAAATAAAAAAAATCCGAACAAAGCTATGTTATGCAGAACTGCAGTTTACGTTTTTCGAAACTACCCCTTGCCGGGACACACAAAACACAGGACAATCACACAGTAAGTACTCTGCATGCCAATCATCACATGGTTTCGGAGGTGCGATCATCACATGGCTTCCAGGGTGCGTGATAGAAGGCTGGTTCCATCCCTGATAACAGTTTGCTACAGTCTCTCTCCAATCAATATTGCATGACAAGGGAGTGTGAAAATGCGTGTACATGCACACTGCTCAACTTTGCATGTGCTGGATTAATCAGGGACGCAAGGCCATTCCTGAAAAGGAAAGATTTGGGAGGGAGAGATTATGGAGTTGTTGGAGTATGCACCCACTTGCTGGAGAATCACTACTGATGGTACCTTGTGTTTCATCTTTGCAAGTCCATATCAATTAAACTTTACCTTCCCGTCCCCCTGCCTGTTACCGGCTTTTACAAGTTTGCCCCTTGAAACAGTCCTTTTGCAGATTTGCACTTCTCCAAGTCCCAGATGGAGACGGGCATGTCTTTGTTCGTGGCTAAGCACAAACAAGCACGCGGAAAACTAGAAAAAATGTCAACATGGATATAAAACACATGCAGAAAAATTAAACTCATCAAACACAGAAAAACTCAGAAACTGCGCAGTGCAATGATCCTGGCTATTTTGCAGTGCAACAACTCAAAGAAAGACAATGCCGTTCAATGACAACTGAAATAAAGGAAATTGGAAAGAGAAATAGACAAAGGAGGAAGAACTAAGAATGGAGGAATCCGATTCGAAGAAGAAGAAGAAAAACACGAGCAAGTACCATGTCAATTCCCCTTGATGTCACCACCTTCTTCAACCTCCATTAGTCCCCCAACTTCTTCTTAACAATAATATTAATAACAATAATAATAACAATGAAAGAATAAACCAGAACCAATGTCCGAATCCTCCCCTTTCTGCCAGCCACTCAAGAGGTCCACCATAGCCATCTCATACATCCTCCACCTACTTCGTCGAGCAGACGGCTATGGTGGACTATTGGAGTGAAGCTCCAATGTTCAAAGGACAACGCAAAGCTACTATGTCCTTTCTACTATGCTCCCCATGCCGGTCACCACCCCTGAGTCTTCCTTGTAGGTGCCAACCCCAACTGGGCCCTTCCAGGTGCAGCGCCAACCAAGAAGATGAAGATGCAGGGCACCATAGCCAGGTAAGCTCCCCCGTTGCTCTCCTCCTTGCTCACGGTCTTCCTCCTCCTACTCCCCCGCAATCTCCTCCTTGGTCCTCTCCATGAATATTGGGGTAGAGGGCCAAGCCCGCCTCTTCATCACCGAGTGCTGTTCAGCTGGGTGGTCGCTCCAGCACCATGCCTCCAAGCTACACGCCTGCAAATGAGGAAGAGCTCTTCTCCGCTTCCCTGGATACACTGCACTTGTGCCTCTTTTCGCGGTCACTTCTAGGCCGTGCGGCCTCCAAGTTTAGCATGAACCTAGTCTAAACTCATGCTCTGGGTTAGCATCAACCTAACCTAAACTCATGCTCTGGTTTACCATAAACTGGGCTGTTTGTGTTTCTCTTTCTTCTTTTTACTTCTTCTATCCCTCCTCTCCAGATCTTTGGTCTTAAAATTTCAATCCTGTTGAAAATATGCGTCAGGCCTAGACAATATGCAGGACATTATCGTGAACTGGTTTAGCATGAATGTGACCTAAACTCATGCACGGGTTTGGCATGAACGTGGCTGCAAATCCTGTCTTTTTTGCACTATCCGCTGGTTTGGCATGTACCAGGCCTCTGATGCATATTCTTTTTTTTTTTTTTTTTTTTTTTTTTTTTAATAATGCGGAATTCATTTAGCAGCCCAGCACTGTTTCGAGAATAGCATGCGGTGCAGTGACATCCTGAGTCATAGTGACCTGCGGTGGATAAGGAGCAATGTCTCTGCTGAATGGATCTCTCTGACTGTTATTTTACTGCTGCTATGATCCTGCACGTCGACTCCAAGATTAGCATGCACTGCCCTCCCGCAATCCTCCCAAGCTTGGAAGGATTGGAATGATTGCTCCGGTGCTGTTTGCGAGGATTGCTGCAAGACATGCTCAGATCACCTTACTCAGCCTTGCTGTCAATTGCTGTGTTTCCTGGCCTGCCACCTGGTGCAGATTCCATCACTACTCGTACTACGCGTGCCAAGCAACAGTCGCTGCAGCGAGGCTGAACAGTTCTGCAGTGTTCCCATGGCTGCAGACAATCTTCCGGTATCAGGTACGTGTGAAGTGCGAAAGAAATGTTTTTGTAAAATTTCAAAAATAAAAGAAAGAGAAAAAAAAGAAAGAAACAGGGAATAGGTGGGATACCATTTGGGGCCGTCCAGGCTGCATCTGGTTTCCTGGAATGCGTGGCTGGGCAAGTTGTGGACAAGGTCCCATCCAGGTCCCGGGCATTTCCAGCACAAAATCAAAAACCTTTTGAAAAAAAATAATAAATCATGTGGTGCTCTCTCTCCCCTCACTGGATACCATTGCTCCTTTGGACCTCGCTCTCTTTCCTGTTAAGCTATGGTGCATGCATAGTAGCATACCCACTATCCTAGCTATGGCTACTCTTCACTCTCGCTCTCGCTCTCGCTCTCGCTTTCTGTCTGCCGTCTTCAGCGCTCGCGCTTGAGCAGCAGCACTCCAGCCTCAAGACAGTGCAAGGCAGAATGAATCACGAGCTGGTTCGGGCCCAGTATTTGTAGCTTTGACTCAGTCTTGCCTGCCTCAAGTTGCCCCTTCGAGTGGCTGAGATTTCCTGATCTGTAGAGACCAGTGTGTGCCTTCACCCACAGATCCCTGGAAGCTTCCTAGGGCCTCCTTTGACTTCTCAAAGCCCTGGATTGTGTGTGATCTGTGGCCATGGTTAACTCTCGAGAAATCTTTGACTCGTCGATTTCTGTACTTCGTGTTTTCTTAGGGCCTCCTTTGACTTCTCAAAGCCCTGGGCCCACCCCAGGCCTTTAAACCTAAGTTCTCCGAATCTGTCCGAATCTGTCGGGGGGGGGGGGAATTCTGCCTGCGTAAAAGTTACCCTTCAAACTTGTTCTGTCCCAATCTGTCGTGTTCCCCCCCCGCCCTCTCCCCCCCTCCCCCCGCCCTCTCCCCCCCTCCCCCCGCTTCTTTTCAGAGAACGTTCTATGCTGATTTGATGTCTGTTCCTTGCAATTTTTTCTCCGTCATGCCAAAGTGGTAAGAGAGGCTGAGTCAGCGCTTCCATACGATCCAAGCCCACACACAAGAGGACAACAGATAGTGCTTCATCTGCAAACATTCAAATTTCAAACCAAAATGGAAAAAAGCAACAGGGATCCCAGCTTTGCCACTTCCATCAGCGAACAACCGAACCCTTGGAACCCTGACCTTCCACCATTACTGATGGGGTAAGACTATGCCTTCACCATGTTCACTACAGTCACCTGTAAGAATTTTTGTGTTATTAACTTATTAGGTCTTGATTTTTAAATTTTTTTTGCTATGATTTTTTTACTATTTTTAGTTGTTTATGTAGGAGCTATTGCTGTTCTATTTGCTATCCCTCTGACCACCATTATCATACCGACAAGTCAGAAAAAAGACAAGAACTGCTTATGGGGTGTAATCTGGAGAGGTGCAGAGAATCAAGTTGATCCGGGAGGCAAGAGAAGAGGGGGGGGGGGGGGGGGGGGGGAAGAAAAAAAAAAAAAAAAAAAAGGAACCGTCCTGCTGTTTTCCCGAACAGAGAATTCAAAGGCAACTTACCTTTTTGGCCAAATTCTCATATAGCTCTGACTATCCTTATACCTTCCTGATTTTTGACTCATCCAAATGGAAGCAGGCATCTCCCTACTCTCAGTATGGTAGACAAGATCTCCCAAAATCACCTTTCCGTCGTCACCCACCCAAATAGAATGCCCGATTATTATTGCTACATTTAGACTGAATATTACCCCAAATACAGCTATAATGACAGCATGTATTCGGGGCAGGATGGTCGTACTCAACCATAATGCTACTGTTCCGCAGTTCGCCACAGAGGGGCCCCTTCTCTGTGGTTTGTGGTTCATCTGGTTGCAGCAATCACTGCATCCTTCCACTCCACTTATTGTACATCCTCCGAAAACAGCGAAAAGGCTGTGTCTGAATCTTCTTGAAAGACCAGTTGCAGATGCAGTCCATGAACATTGAATAATGATCGCTTTGCTGGTCTTATAGATCAAAATCTCAATCTCCATGGGAGGGCCCTGAGGCCCTGTTTGAAATTGAAAAGAAACAAGTGGCTGCCTGCTGTGCCTTCGCACACGGCAAGAGGAAAGGTGGAAGCCTTCCCTTCTGTTCGGACCATATCTTAACTCGCGTGCTATCCCTGCCTCTCTTTATCTCTCTGCGCATGGTGTCATACAACTGAACCCGATGTACGTGACCACACTCCCGGCCAGGTTCATTTGTGCTGAGATGTTGTAAACCTTCTCTCTCTCTCTCTCTCTCTCTCTCTCTCTCTCTCTCTCTCTCTCTCTCTCTCTCTCTCTCTCTCTCTCTCTCTCTCTCTCTCTCTCTTCGTATCTGTGTTCACTTCATCCTCCCTCCTCCTCGTCCACCGTTGTCCTCGTCCATGGGGCCATTGTCCTTGTTGTCCTCGTCAATGGGGCCATCGTCCTTGTTGCCCTTGTCGCTGCTGTCCTCTTTGTTGTTGTCACCATCATTCTCGTCGTGGTTGTCATGTGTGTGTCTATTGTTGGGAAAATGAAATGAATGACAAAGCAAACACACAGCAAAAGCGAAAAGGAACTATGAAATAAGACCATCTGTTCTGTTTATCCTGGAGAGCGATCAGGTTTTTTGTTATTCTGTGTGGAATCGTGTGCGGATTGATTTTCCTAATTGTCTGTGTGGCATATGGCGTATGCTTATTTGTGGTCTTAACAGGATTACTTTTCGACAGAGGCAACATTTGCAGAGACAACGGAATCGGTTCTAGAACGACTTGTAGGACTGGCTCCCCATGCTGGACTGGATACGAAGCAGTTCAGCTCAGCATTCTACGATTCTGAAGTAGATCTTGACACGAGGTTGGCATTCAAGGTAAGAGCTTGATCTCCCTCTTTAGTCTTGTCCTTTTCCTTAGCTATAGTAAAACCAGGGTGGCACGGTGGTGACCACTGATGGTGACCGGCCGACGGTTTGGGAGCTGGCCGACGTACAAGTGGATTCGAACCACTGACACAAGGATTTTCAGTCCTTCACTCTTAACCAACTGAGCTACCTAAGCAAAAACAAAATCAAACTATGTTCAAAACAAAATCAAACTATGTTCAATTCTGAAAAGGTAATTCAAAGATTACTAAGTACAAAGGCACATTTGGGTAATCGTGCACCTACTTCAGACTTTCAGCCATTTCTGTACAGATTATGAGCATACTTGCGCCGCACCTGCCCTGTGCGCTGCGCAGCGCAGCGCGTTATGCACAGGCCCTAGGTGCGCGCGCACACGCACGCTCCGCGCATCTGGGTGCGCCATGCGCGCTGCGCTGCGCACATGTCCGCATATGCGCCAGGTGCACATATTCTTTTTTTTTTTCCTTTTTTTTTTTTAAATGTTACGTTGGAGAACACACACACACACTCACACACACACACTCACACACACACACACACACACACACACACACACACACACACACACACACACACACACACACTCTGCAGGATCGATGCTGGCAGCGATTAGAACTTACCTTGGATGAGCAAAATGGAATGAATCTACTGCTAGAA